CCCCCCCCCCTGCGGAAGAGGTTAAACAACAATGACATAAATTGCCTGGCTACCCAAAGATTTATCCAAATAAAACCTATATTCAAACAGACATTTCACAATTAACTGTCATGTGTCTTGCAGGTTGCAGGTAACTTCCACTTCGCACCTGGAAAAAGCTTTCAGCAGCACCACATTCACGGTAAGATGGTCTGGGTACATAAGTGTCCATCACTTTGATGTTATTCAACAGTTTTTAAGTTTAGAATTTCTTGGTACGCAGGCATAATTTCTAAAAATAAATGAGTCCTCTGCAGAGGACTCATTTATTTTTAGTTTTTAAGTTGTTTTTATATATATAATGCCTGTATATTCTCCAAATTGTTTTGGTTTGTTTTTGTGGTCAGAAGAAAATGCTTCTTGGATTTTGAACATTTATGACACCAAACCCATCATTCCGTATGAGTATTGTGCACAGTCACAGAGRGCTGGGTTGGGTTGTTCAATGTCCAATTAGTGTTAATCCAGGATTAATTCCATAGGTTCTTTTAAAGGTAACCCAGGATTAGCACTGCAAATTGACCTTTGAACAACCCAGCCCTGGATCACATTAGCAACATAAGCAATRCAAATGAAAAGCAAAAACATTTCTTGCACTTGCATTTTACATTTTGAGAAGTGTGAAATTCTTTATTTCCKCTTTTGATTGCATTGTGCTGTTTGTGTGAACCAAGGTTCATGTTATATGATGTAGCGCCTCAAAGAAATTGTAGATTCTTAAATATCTTAAAATTTGAATTGAACATAAACACCTAAAAGTACTGCATGTTTTATTAAAAAATAATGGGAAAAAATTAAAACTTAAAATAATACATTAATGCACGTTTTATATGCACTAAACACCTGCACTCTTCGCTAGAATGTGCAACACAGTACATGTAACTGGCAATAGAATGGTACATGTATCAGTCAACCAAAAAGCTTAGTCATACAATCATGTATAACCACTTGGTTTGAAACCAATGTAATCAGTCTTGGTTTATTGCAAACCATTGCAATTATTGCATGTCATTGAGCTTTTTCTCTGGACTTGTTATGTGCAAATGCAAGCAGTATTATCAATACTCAACTGTGTTGTTAATTGTCAAAACACAAACTAATTGCAAACAATACAACAACAGCAACTACTGTAATTCAATAACTAAAAATATAAAAAATC